ATGCGAAAGAGAGAATGATACGACAGGCGAAGATATGAGATTACGACAACGACGTTGAGTTGCACCACGTACCCAGAATGCGGGTGTGAGAAGCGTCCGTCGGCACCGATGTTATTCGTCGGAGGGTCTCCAGTAGTCTTTGGAGGTTCCAAAGCAATTCCTGTAAATTTGCATGCAATAGACAGGAGGAGTTTAACCCTAGGGAATTGTCGTCCACGAGAGGTACAATTATAGAATCTTTATTCAAAGATAACTAAGTACACTCGCAGGATTCACCAATCCGCGACCTGAAGCGGACCTGTATTGCACGCGTTACAATAATTGATTCGTAATAGTCCAATCGTAATTACTTATGTTAATAAAATTAATTACTAGAATACTAGCCGGGTACAAGGCGGTATAAGCATACAAGACAAATGCCAGAAGGGCCAATATCATTTACAATAATAATTGTTACGGGGGCTCGCTCTATGCCCTTTTATAAGTACAATTGTAATTTCGTCGAGCTCACCCTTATGATTATTATACGGCGAAGACTGGGAGATCCTCAGAGGCTCGTCCGTTGTTTTTTGGATGACCTTGGGTGACCTTCCTGTTGCTTGGCTGCTATACCTTCCGGAGAAGCTGATGGATCACGGCTGCTAGCAGGTTGCTTGGCGTGCGGGGGACTACCTGGCGTCTCGACCTGTGTGTCCGTCCGCAAGGAGACTGCAGTTTTGTGGTTGCTTCCTTCTGGGTCGGCCACTCTTCGTGTCCACCGTTGTTTTCCGTCCTCGGGAACTTCCGTACTTGGTGTTTCTTAACTTTTCACACGGCGCGTGTTACTACTCAACAGGTATTGCCGATGTCTCGATCGTAACTCTACGACAACTCAGCCGTAACTCTACGGTGTCTGAACCGTAACTCGTAACTGACTCTGCTTCGCTTGCGCGTCGAGGTACTTGCCGGATTCTGGCGGGACCCCCCACCATCTTCTGGCTCCCTCCCTTGGCGCCACCGAAGCGCTGACTGTTGGAATTTTTCATAAGTTCTGTTTGCTCTTAGTTCGACCTTGGTAGGTCAAGCAAGTTCCCTTTGGACTGATGATAGTATAGGTGGTGCTGCAACAATGAGTGAACATCTCCCAGAGAGGGCGACATGAGTGTTTGTTGTTCTAAATCTTGCTCTGGCCGGCACGGATGGCGCCACTTCTCCGAAATGGACAATGAACTCAAGACTTGTCTTGTAACAGAATTGAAAAGACTAGAACTACACCTCTTCATCTTCAATCTAATGGTTTAGTTGAAAGGTTGCATAGGACTCTTCTTCAATATTTATCAAAATTTATTAATAAAAATCAAAAAGATTGGGATCGTTGGATTTCTCTATTTTTGTTAGCTTATCGTTCTCCTAGACATGAGACTACAGAATTTTCTCCAGCAATATTAATGTTAGGTCGTGAATTAAGGTTACCTTTAGATTTTCTTCGTGGAATTTCTCCTTCTGAAAATATTTCTAATGACAATTCTTCAGGTGAATATGTTTTTGATCTTCGTGAAAAATTACAACTCACTCATGATTATGTGCGACGTAATTTAGAAATTAAATCAGGAAAACTTAAATTTAATCACGATTTAATATCTAATATTTTGTCTTTTGACGTAGGTCAAAGAGTTTGGTTTTATTTTCCTACAAGAGTTAAAGGGAAATGCCCTAAACTTTAATCAGATTGGGAAGGTCCATATATTATTGAAAACGAATTGAATGATGTTGTTTTTAGAATTCAGAAAATTCCGAATGGTCATTTAAAAGAAGTTCATATGAATAGACTCGCTCCTTATGATGTTGATGATTGAATGTTGACTCTTACTGGATTCCTTATTTCTGTTGAATTCAGGGTTTTTGTAACTTCCAGTCTGAGAACGTTGGCTCTCATTGATCATTTGATTGTTGATTTAAATTCACAATGTCTGTCCTAGAGGAGTCTCGTGGAGTTACTATAAGATATACACGGTTGGAGCGTTTGTGTTGTTAACCTTTTCTTCATTAATGGCCAAAATGAAGTTGAGTTAGGCACTAAGTGTCCATGGTATCCTATAAAGTTTGAATAGTCGGTTTAAACTATCGAACTTATGTTTTTGAAAATTCCTTGCAAGGTGGATCATTTGTGATTATTACTTTTGTGATTTTAAGAGTCTGATTTTATGAATAGAATGCGTAGTCGGTTATTAATTTGGAGAAATGTTCTCCATTTTCACTATATCAACGATTACGTCACTAAACTGGAATCAGCACCATCATTAGAAGTCACTTTAAACTCCTGCAAAACTAAGCTGTCAGAATCATGGTGTGAACAATATTTTATGCATCATGAATGTCGAAATACCATCAAACAAATAAAAGTATACCTAGATCAAATCAATAAAATGATTCTACAAACAGATAATATTGGTATAAGTAAGAAGAGATCTGCACCTCTTGGAATTATTGGCAGTATAAGCAAAAGTTTATCTTTTATTTAAAAACCAAAGAAAACAATACCAGGATAGCCAATGAATTATTAATCTTAGCAAACAGTACTCAAGACCAATTAAACAGAATGGAAAAATATAACTATATACTAAAGGTTAAATAAATGATTTCAAATTATGAGAACACCGCCAGACACTAACTATATGTACTTAAAAAGATTATTGATGCAATCATCTTCGGTAATTTGGGAATAGTATATCTAGATTTATTACCATCTACAATCAGCTGTTGATCATTTTTTAAACAAACAAAGAACCCTTATTTTTCCGTTATCTAAAGAAACTCATTACGCAACACTAACAGGTTATCATAATTTTCAAGGATTTGTTTCAATTAACTTTGATCAACTACCTGACTTGAATATAACTTAATTAGTGTCAATATTGAAAATATCAACTTAACATCCAGCAAACTTCTATCAAGGGAAAACATTGGTTTTAAAGGACCATCAGAATTGTTGGACTATAAAACCACTCTAAGTGAACTAGAACAAGAAATGATTAACCTAAGTAATCAAGATCTGGAGGAAATTCCTGCTCATCATATTGTCTTAGAAACTATTGGAATATATACAATGATAATCATAATGATTGTCATGTTACTTTTTATCTGGAGAAAAAGGGTTCAAAGATGCTATTGTCCAAGAGAAAGACAACGTAGACAAAATCCTGAGGAACCAGTCTATGATGAATTGAAACCACCAGTTCCAATAATCATTTTCAACTTCGACAGTAAAGAAGATAAGTCTTTAAGCTCAAAGATTCCAATATTTAGGAGCTATAAGAAATCAAAAAGAGGCATAAGAAGAAAACCGGTAAATAAACTCCCAACGATTCAGGCATTACAAGATAACCCGGTACCAGGGACATCCAAACAAGGGGATCTTCACTACGAAAATTTGCCATCAACATCAACCGATAAGTGTGAAAGTTGATTACAATTAATTGACCAATAATTACCATTATCCACGATAAAAGGTATAGTATTAAGTTCTAAATAATTGTATTAAGTATTAGACACATAGCAATTAATTCGTGATAATGTAATAGTAATTAGAAATGTAAAATATATAATGTCAACCACCTGAGCCTAACTAATAAGTCGGTGAATTTTCTTATTAAAGAAAATGTCTAATTCGGTTGGGTTGTATATTATATATGGTCTAGAAATCATCCATATTCACTTTTAATAATCAGTTTATATCATATAATAATTATAATCATATGGATAAATAAGTACATCATCGAGACGGTGATTAGAGTCAGGAGGGAGGTGTCACAATTGTCAAAATGGATGATTTCTCGTCCCTTCAAAAGAAAGAAATCTATCTTACCGTCAGTGAAAATAAAACTTAACTATAAGACCCTACAGGACCATAATTGTTATTCATGAAACAATAGATAAGGGACGAGATTTCATCATATTAGCTTATATACGACCTTACAAAATAATAGATGTGGAAATTTACTGACGTCAAGAACGCCGCGACTAAAGTTCCACGTCTACATACTAATACAATCAAGACTCATAAACATATACCCCATAATAGCATGTGTAAGTGGGCCTCAATTGATATAAAAAGAGCCATTTTTTAGGGAATAATCAGTCTAATCTCTGGCGTTGACTCTGATTCTATGGGAGCTGTATAACTCTGCTCCGTAGAACTTACTTTGGGAGCTGTATAACTCTGCTTCGAAGTAAGGTTAAAAATATAATCTATAATATTTTTCCTCAAATAAAATAAATGAATCCAGAGTAGGCTCAACCTAATTACTAGGGCCATACTTCGGTCTTGGGCTGGTAGTTGGGATATAGAGTCTGAGTCAATCATACCTAGAATCTTGATAGCTTTAACGAAATTAACTAGAGTGACACTTTGCCCATAAGGAATCTATTGGTAACTACAACTTTTATAAATTATTATTTTCATATAAATATAATATATCATATCCTTGTTGTTGAAACCCTATAAAATAAAATTTATTAAACTTAATCCTCCTTTTATTTAAAAAAACAACCTTTGAAAAAATATCTCTAAGTTTCTCGAGATAAGTGTATCCGAATCCGTGTTCATTACCTGACGTAGAACACAAGTAAATAAACAGAAATTATCTAGGGTACCTGATACGTTGGTTAGTACTGAACCTCGATTACCAGTGTTGAGGAAAGATTAAATAGTAGATTAGTATCTGACTGTCAATACTTCCTTAGCCATTCTTATAATTTAAAATAAATATCAATAAGGGACGTTCATTCGAACATCACAATGGTAAAGTAAAAATTGAATTTAGCTATTAGTTGTTGCGGAAAAAACGTGTCACCTGTTTATTTTTAAATTCTATTCGGACAAAGTCACGGCTAAATACTTTGTTACTATTTGTTTGAATCTAAGTTTCGATTGTTATCTTCAGGCACAAAACGAAACGAAAGGACGTTTTAAGAAAAATTAATTTGAATTTACATGTTATTTATTAGTCATCATACATATTAGTAAATGCCTTTGACATTCGCAGAATAATTAAATATAACTTCTGATGGTATCATCATCGATAATATCTTCCGAAGCTGCCAAAAAAATTGAAAATTTAGGATCACAACCACCGAAAACTGTATTTGGATTTCCATGTTTTTACCATAACCATGTAGATCAACTACTCAACAAAGACATTGTGATCAAATGTGAATTTAAAGCTGATAACGATGGTTTATTATACCATGTTATATATTTCAAAACAATATCATCTGCGAAATTAATTACACACCTTACATCTTGTCGTTATATTCTCGGTTACGATGGCAACGTTGTCACACTATATGAGCTAATTAGTGCATTTTTAATTTCACCGATTTCACGATTATCAATTGATACCCAATTTGTGTATTTATGTGATTTATTCAATGATATATTCCATTATATATATGAGCTCACAGAAAGAAATTTAATTAATCACTATTTGATCGGAAGTGAATATCACGTAAAATTCTTTTGTGACAACATCGCTTTTATTAATTCAAAAAATCGGTTGAGTTTTATTCTACGATGTACTCTTACAGCCGTAGATGCAATTAAGGCGAGAACAAAATTTATGAAACAATATGCCAGTATCCTTGAAATTGCTAAATATATTTTATTCTCTACAAAGTCTAAAATTCGTTCAATGAAAAATGTGTCCGCATATGGAATAAGAAAAAACGAAAGTAGAAAGATTTACCATGATGGAATTTGTAAATTAAAAAATTGTTCAGTTCGGATAAACGTTATCGATGACTCGCTGTTTCATAGTGTGTTTTGCATGCAAGTATCTGCGAAGTATCCTGTAGCATATAAGTTGTTAAGATTAGCTGATATATTTAATATACCATTAGAACCAACATCTTACATGATTCATCACATATTTGAATAAATTTAAATAAAAGAACGAAAAACAGGCAGTTATCATGATTTTTAGGAACAATTTACTTTTTGTCAAAAATTTGTCGGTAAAGCTTGCTCATAAATTCTTTTCGTAAATTTAGGTTCGATGTAGTTTTTTCTACTAACTTAGAAATAGCCTAGTGAAGTGAGATCCGTACTTTATATTTATCAATATTGAGTAAATCTAACCGGATGGAGGTACAACTTTAGAAAAATTTATTTTGGTAATATTTCGCGTAATAATGATATACAGTTAAAATCTGAGAAAATAATAAATATTTGTGTGCAAAACAAATGGTCAATTGAGCCGAGGTCGGTATGATGGTTAGGTTCGTAACAATGTCACAAAAACGCAAAATAAAGAATTTAATTCATTCAAATAACTCGAAATTATAACAATAACGAAATGCATGACATTACGCATACTGCATACACTCACGACTCACACACTCATCTAGACCCAGTTTTTCACACTAGTAAATGTTTTTTACAATGTTTCTTTTCCAAAGTCAAGGGGCGAAGCACTCTCGCCAAAGGAGTCGGGAGACGCAGCCCCCAATATATATGCAATTTGTATGTATGTGTTACGTGGTACAAAAATTCACAAAAAATTAATTATTTGCAGAAATATTTATAATTCAAAACAAAAATTATATTTATAAATATAAATGTTGAGTGTATTTTATACTGAAGGTATTTTGTCACGGATATATTGTCGTAGTTTTTTTTTCTTCGGATAATGACGGAACTGAGGCAGTTGAGGTCAATAGGTCCGATGATGCAGAGCTTCCTAGGTCCAGTCAAGTAAGACCTGAAATGGCAATTTTTCAACCTCTGAATTTGTCTAACTTCCTCGTTGACGAGGAATACCGCCACGCGTGACAAATTAGAAAAAGAACCGACCGGGCTTCCGTTCCTGCGCCATCTATCTAGGTCAGTAGCAGTGCAATTTCATTAGCGAATTCAACCTCCCACTTTGAACCAAGGTTTTTTTTATGTAAAATTGCACGAAAATTCTGGAAAAACTATTCGCAGGCAACAAAAAATATACGCGTCATTAAGTTTTTTTGTTATAAACAATTTTTTCCCACAAGAGTCTGCACATTTACATTATTAACTTTTTAGTTATGCAGAAATAGGACTATTTATACGTTCGGTTCTGTTCTGAGCGCCTTTGAGCTGAAACCGAATACGTTAATAGTAATATACACATTTTGATATCTGTTGGTTTGTCTACATTTCAAAACGACGTTTGCCGTTATTATGATGTGATTGCAATATTTTATTAATACAAATATAATACAAGTAATTATTTAATGCAATAATTTTCAAAATGTTAATCTGTACATGATATATACCGATTTTTAATTATTCGAACATTTCAATTTTAGGAAAATGAATATGATTACAATCAAAGATTAATATAATTCCATAAAGTTTAAAGTTAAGAATAATAAATTAAAAATCCACGTTTTGAGATCATATTTTCCAAATGCCAATTGCTTGGTTTTTACACCAGAAGATGGATGTCCTTGTGCGGTGAACTAACGTTACCGACGAAAGAAAATAAATTTTAAAGAAACATCTATTACGCATTAATATTTCTTTTCAAATTAAGTTACCACGTCAACTCCGCGATATAGTAGTTTTTAATTTTTTTGAGATCGATATTATTTAGTCTAATATAAAAACTTACTGAAAGAAGTAAGTAAAACCCACCAAAACCAAACTGTCAGAGAAACGGCGCCAAGGTACGATTGGTTAAAAGTTTCTTGTTTTCAAATTGTTTTACATACAAAAAATTTTTGAAATCATAATATTGCAGCAAGTGCAAAGTTATAAAATTGTTACTAGCAATCGTTTAATCAAAAATCTGATAAGTGTACGTGGAAAATTGTAGATCAAATGCTTGATTGAAATTTCAATAGACATTAGTTATAATAAATTTTTTAGAAAATTTTTTTTCGTGTTTGGTGTATTCCCTATGAAATAATCTAATTGATTTCGAGTAGAAAAAATTCAATAGGAATGAATCAGTTTTTTACATCGGAAATTCCGTACTGAATCTGATTGAAAAATATTAAATTTGCATGTATGGGAAATTCTCTATGCAATGCGGATGATTTTTATACAAATGTTGAGAATTAATCAATTCTCAGTTTGAATTGCCAGCTGAACGGAACTTCGGCAGCCATCTTGGGACTAGGTCGATTATCAATCTAGTCACTCATTTGACTAATTTTTAGTGTTCCTTTTGACTAATGAAGTTCCTGTCACCCTTCTTATTCTGTTATCATTCACGTGTACAGGCTATTTCGATTCTTTTTTGACAAATCGTTAAGTTTTGAGTCAATCTATAGTACTAGTGTTATTCTGAATCAACAGAAACATTCGCCAGTTTCAACGAAAAGTATTGTGATGTTGGAGAGAGATATGGTCTTAAGCAGTAATGCAGCTACTGAATCTGATAGCTCATCGAGCTCAGCTTAGAGAAGAAGGAGTCAGATCCGCTCTGACAAAGAGCTCTTGTCGGAGCTGCCACCAAAAAGATCTGCGAAATTCACTTTACTGAATATTATGGAAGCTATAAATAGATTAAACGCGTCTATCTCCAAGTTAGGGGCGACGCAGGCTGACTATGGTGCAGTTATTAGTAAGCTGCCGGATTTTATATCAAACAACAGACCATGAACACAAAGCTGGTGATAGCCGGCGTTACAGAAAGTGATTCGCTTACCAATCATCGATCTTTGATTATGGCGGTATTCGATGCCCTTAAACTATCTATTTCTCTAGGGAAGATTATAGAATTCAGATTGATGCGTAGATTACCTCCTGGATTTACTCCTCGTGGTACTGCTGTTGTCTCTGCTCAATTGCTGTACTCGTCTTCATCTTTGTTTGCAATGCCTTCTTCAGCTTTCACTTCTACTTCTACTGGCGTTATCAGGAAGACATCCAAGCCTAGCTCATTAACTGAGACTTCGACATCACAGTTGATGAGCTACTGCTCTCCAGGACGTTTCAATTACTTGGGAAAGCGAAAACTACTCTTAAGCAAATTGGGTTTAAATATGTCTAGGCCAAAAATTCAATCGTCAGTTTAAAAGTGAGAATATCAGTCATGTTATTAACGATCAGGATAGTACTGCTAGACTAGCTATGATTTACTCGTCAGTAAAACAATGACGAACTTATACTGCTTTATTCTAACCTGCTCCTCATGCCTTGTCTAGGTAACCTTTAGCCACGTAACCTGCACAACAATCTCACCTTTGCTTCTTTATTCTTATAATTTGTTAAAAAATATTGTATTACAATAATTTATGTAAAAGTTTTAGTATTTATGAACTACAAATAAGCCATAAAGTACTCAGGTGCCGGCTGCACATAGGCTTTTTACATTCAGTACATGCAATTTTCGTTTTTATTCCTACCGAATAATGACATAATGAGCATCTCTGTCTCTGTTCTAAATTTATAACTTCTTCATACGGCACTTCGTCTACTACTACACCTAACAGTCTTTGGATACTTTTTTTAATAGGTACTGTGACGATTCTTTTCTACTGGGGTAGGTGTACTCAGTATTCACCTTCCTCCAGGACACTAATTTATCCGCTAACATCTCTGGTTCGCTTATAAACATTATAAACGACGGGCGCCAAGTTATTTTTATCGCCAGAATAACTAAACTGACCAAAACTTACATCTACACTAAATCTCAAACAACTAATCTCTAAGCACAAAAATCCAAATCAAATATCCAATGACTCAAAAATCTTAAAAACTAATCCAAAATCTTAAAAATAAACTTAATTAAGATGTTGCTGACAAAAAGGTCCTGACAGGGGATCTCCTGGATCTCAGTTATGTGGGTTGTGGAGAGAGGGCCAGGGCCGGCAAAAATCCTCGGTTGAACCCCACAAAATTATTCAAAATTATAAAATAAACAAACTGGAGTTGAAGGTTCTTCTTTACTAATTATTCAAATACCAATTATCCATTAATGCTTAATTTATTAAAACAAAATCAATTTTCTTATTCATTATCCAATTAACAAAAATCATAAATCATTCTTTAACGATTCTGCATCATCAATAAAGAAAAATATTTTACAAACAAATAACTCTAACTCGAATTCTGGAACAAGTTTCAAATAATTACCTATCGTTTCTAAAATTTAAACATTAATTAACCTTAATCTAACGACTCTAATCTCAAATACACTAATTTTTATCTTATAAATGACTCTAAAACCCGAAGCAAAATCATCAATATCTTTTATAATTTAAACTATAACACTCTAAACTGAATTTATTAACTAACTAAATCACGAAAGCAACCCAAGGGTGGAAGATTCCCTACAGGAGCTGCAGAGGATATTTAGGTGTCGTAAACTGGTCTCGACACGTTCCTGGATATTCTGAAACCTCCTCTCTGCATCAGGGACCTCCCTCTAGTCTGCCATAACTCTACTTGATTGTTTCTTCCTTCTGGAACTGCTCTCGTCTTCAACCTCCAACAATTCTCGCCATCTTCAATCTTCGAACTCCAATTTCTAACTACTTCCTTCGATTACCAAAATCGAACTGCTCTCGTCAATCTCCAAAAACGAACTCTTCTCTTCAAGCTCCAAACTACTTCTTCTTTATCAAACTCCAAAATTGTACTCTCTGCATTCTTTATCCCCACTCCAATCTCACAATCAATCTTCTTATTTGCAGAACCACTTCTCCATTAGTAACTTCATCACGTGATCTCTCCTAGATTTCATTGTGGAAGGGCGACTTAACCTAGGTGCTTCCTTGGAGGTGAGGTTGATCAGGCTTCCCCCACAAGGCCTGCAAACTTATGTTGTATTCCTAATGACTTGACGATTTTTTATTTATTTCTATTCGTTTATTGTCACGTAAATAGGTACACGATATTACAGAATATTTGTTGTATGAGCGATTTAGAAGATCTGAGTAGTTCAGATGATAGATTCTAAGTAAGTCTCTGGATATTAAAGGAAGGAGCTTTATTTAAAGGGCTGACCCAAGATCCA